AGCTCCCAGTTGTACGGGCATTTGCAGGCGCCCACCCCGAGTTTGACCGTCTCGGGCGTGGAGGCAGTTCCCGTTCTCGGGGGAAATGAAGACCGCCGAGCAACTGCGGTCAGCGCAGAGGTGGGGAGGTCCCCTGTTGAACCGGGTGGTGGTCTCTGCTACACTAGACCGCACCATCCATCGGAGGCGAGGCCACTTCCCAATGTCCCGGAGCAAGTTCGGAAGTGGGGTATGAGGTACGATGGCCGCTCCGACCCCCTTGGGTTCTTAGAGGACCTCGAGGAGCGCGCTATCACCTATGGTATAGCCCTCGACCGTATGCCCAGGGCAATGAGCGAGGTGTTCTGCGATAGGGCTGCTCGTTGGTTTCTGAGCAGTGGGCTAAGGGATGTGCCGTGGGCCGTGTTTAGAGGGATTTCTGGCCTGGAGTTTTTCTTGCCCCCTCGTTACTTCGAGAGGCTTGAGGACGAGATCCGATCCCGGAGGCAGCGCGTAGGTGAAGCGTTCAAGGAATATTTGATAGAGCTGAGGGCTCTTATGCACCACGCTAGATACGAGCCAGCACAAGAGCTGCATCGGATCTACGAGAACGCCGCTCCGGAATACAGGCTCTATGTGCGACGGCAAGACTTTTCTACCCTATCCCAGCTAACTCAACTGGCCGTAGAATACGAGACCGTCGTGAGGCAGAGGGCGGAGTACTCAGGCAACCAGCCCTTGGGCCCGGGTATCTCCAGTTCAAATAGTACAGAGTGGGCGAGGACGGCGCAGTCCTCGGGACATCTCAATCCGTTCCGGTCTGCTCCCAGCGGATCCGGGAAGACCGTTGTGGACAACAGGGTCTCCGCCCCACCCGCTGCAACTCACGCAGAGGTGACCCATCAGATGATGAGCCAAGAGGCCGGGAACGGATATGATCCGCGACGGGCGTGTCGTAGGTGCGCACAGGAGGGGCATTTTGCCAGGGAATGTCCCAACGCCCCTGTCTTATTTTGTTGGGTATGTGGAAGCCGGGGCCGAAGTAGTCGGGAGTGCTGCCGCCGCGCGGAGACGGGAAACGGGCAACGGCGTCGTCCGGACCAGGATCGGGTCGGCGCCAATACACACGGAACGCAGTAATAGGACACCCACTGAAGGTGGACGGTGGCCGGATCGTCGCTACAGTAGAGATTGGCGGACGAACGATGCCCGCCACGATCGATACCGGAGCCACTCGTAGCTTCATGAGTGAGGACTGCGTACGCAAATGGACGATCCGGGGTAAGAGCGGAGGAAATACAGGCACGTATCCGCCTGGCAGATGGGTCCACCCTAGAGGTAGAAAAGGCTTTGAGAGTAGACGTCAGCTTAGGGGGAAAAATGATCAGCATGACGATGCTCATCATGCCCTCAATGCTGGACCACGTAATCCTGGGTATGGATTTTTTGGGGGCGATGGGTACCACAATACGCTGCGGCGAGGCGGAACTGGTCCTAGAAGCAGCGACGACACCGGGCGTGAGGCCAGGAACGAGCGAGGAGTCGGAGGAAGGCCGCCCAAGGCATGAAAAGGGAGCACCTGCTCGGCTACAGACAGAGGGAGCCGGAGGAAGGCCTCCCAAGGCATGAAAAGGGAGCACCTGCTCGGCTACAGAGGGAGCCGGAGGAAGGCCTCCCAAGGCATGAAAAGGGAGCACCTGCTCGGCTACAGAGGGAGCCGGAGGAAGGCCTCCCAAGTCATGAAAAGGGAGCACCTGCTCGGCTACAGAGGGAGCCGGAGGAAGGCCTCCCAAGTCATGATAGGGGAGCACCTGCTCGGCTACAGAGGGAGCCAGAGGCAGGCCTCCCAAGTCATGAGAAGGGAGTACCTGCTCGGCCTTCGACGGAAAAGGTCAGGAAAAGGGGAGTAAAGTCCGGCTCGAGTCGACAGCCTGGAGAACCCAAGAGGTGGCGCATAGAGCTGCAGAGGCAGACTTCTAATGGCTACGGAAGCTGCACGGCGGGAACGTGCAAGAGAAAGGACGGAGTAGGAGCGATGACCAGAATCCACACGGACATAGAAGGCCAGGAGCGATTGCCAGAATCGAGCGGCCACGGAGTTCTATCGACGGGACATCGAAATGGTCCCAGGAGGGGGCGATAACGGCATCGAAGAGGCGGATTGGCCAGCGGATCTGGACCCAGAACTGAGGGAGTTCCTGGAGTCAGAGCTGGCTCTCTTCGAGGGGCTGCAGGGAATCTCGCACATCGCGGAGCACCGAATCCGGCTGAAGGATGACAAGCCGTTGAAACAAAGGTACTACCCCAAGAATCCGGCCATGCAGAGGGTGATCGACGAGCAAGTGGATGAGTTGATCCGGGCAAATGCCATCGAGCCGTCGCGTAGTCCGCACAGCGCCCCGATCGTCTTGGTCAAGAAGAAGACTGGCGAGTGGCGTATGTGCATTGACTACCGACAACTCAACGCGCATTCCATTCCGGACGCTTATCCGGTGCCTCGTATTAACCACATCCTGGAGCGGTTGCGCCACGCCCGGTTCATCTCCACTCTGGATTTGAAGCACGGGTACTGGCAGATACCGATGGCAGCCGATAGTCGAGAGTGTACGGCGTTCACAGTCCCTCCCTGGAAGAGGTCTTTTCCAATGGCGGGTGATGCCATTTGGCTTACACTCGGCGTGTGCGACATTCCAGCGCGCTTTGGATACGGTAATAGGGCCGCAGATGGAGCCTCATGCGTTCGCCTACCTAGACGACATCGTGGTAATAGGAGCGACGAAAACACAGCATGTAGAGAATTTGAGGGAGGTATTCCGCCGGCTAAGGGCGGCCAATCTCCGGTTAAATAGAAAAAAATGCAGCTTCTTCCGGGAGAGGTTAGTCTACCTAGGACATGTAATTTGCGGGGAAGGGATACGGACCGATCCGGAGAAAGTGGAGGCGATACGAAACCTGAGGGCCCCAACAAATTGCAAAGAACTGCGACAGTGTCTCGGGATGGCGTCATGGTACAGGCGCTTCGTACCCAATTTCGCGACCCAGGTACAGCCACTCACAGCGCTCTTAAAGAAGGGGCAGAAATGGGCATGGGAGCAAGAACAGGAGGAGGCATTGCGTCAATTGAAGGAGAGCTTGACGACTGCCCCTGTGTTGGCTTGCCCCGACTTTTCCGCCAAGTTCGTCTTGCAGACTGACGCGAGTGAGTATGGCCTCGGTGCAGTGCTGACGCAGACGATCGATGGACAAGAGCGGGTGATAGCGTACGCGAGCCGAAAGTTGCTGAAGGCCGAGGTGAACTATTCCGCCACTGAGAAAGAGTGCCTGGCAATCGTGTGGTCGATCCGGAAGTTGCGTTGCTACCTAGAAGGGTACCGATTCGACGTAATAACGGACCATCTAGCGCTCAAGTGGCTGAATTCGATCGAGAGCCCGTCAGGAAGGATTGCGCGATGGGCATTGGAACTGCAGCAATTCCAATTTGACGTTCATTATCGTCGAGGGAAGCTCAACGTCGTGGCCGATGCCCTGTCGAGGCATCCTCTAGAGACCTGTCAACAAGCAGTGGTGGCCGAGGCCCCCTGCAAATGGGTCGCGAGGATGCGTGCTAGAATCGCCGAAGAGCCAGCCAAGTTCCCGGATTACACCCGAAGAAAACGGACAGCTATATAGGCATTTGGGTCACCGGATAGACGATGAGGACTACATCCCTTGGAAACTATGCGTAGGTAGTGGTCAACGCCAGAGGGTACTGCGGGAATGTCATGATGCTCCCACGGCCGGACATCAAGGTGTCAGAAAAACGGTGGCGAGGTTAGCCCAGCGGTACTACTGGCCGGGTATGTTCCGCGATGCCGCCAGATACGTGAAATGTTGCGAAGACTGCCAAAAATTCAAGAGTGAGCAACTCAAACCGGCTGGTCGCATGCTGACGAGGCAGGTAGCAGAGCCGATGGCGGTACTTTGCGCGGACTTCGTCGGACCCCTTCCACGGTCGAAACATGGAAACACGATGCTATTGGTGTTCCATGACGCTTTCTCGAAATGGGTGGAGTTGGTCCCTCTCAGAAGAGCCACAGCAGCACACCTGCAAACTGCGTTTCGAGAGAGGATTCTAAGTAGGTTCGGGGTACCTAGGAAGTTTGTGTGCGACAACGGGGTACAATTTACGAGCCGGAGTTTCAAGTCATTTTTGGGGTCCCTGGGTGTAGAGATCCAGTATACCGCCCCGTACTGTCCGCAAGAAAATCCCACTGAGAGAACTAACAGGACTGTAAAGACCATGATAGCGCAATTTATTGAGGGCCACCAGAGTTCATGGGATGAACTTTTGCCCGAGATCTCGCTGGCGGTCAACACGAGCGTGGCAGATTCAACGGGCTTTAGTCCCGCTTTCCTGATGCAGGGCAGGGAACCTCGGTTACCCGCAGCTCTGTACGACCAGGTAACTCCGGGGTCCGCAACTAGTGCGCTCGACCCTAGGACAAAGGCGGATAGGCTAAAAGAAATTTTTGATATCGTCCACAGCAACCTCCAGCGCGCATCAAAGGACCAGGGCAGGCATTACAACTTGCGGAGACGAGAGTGGCGGCCTTCGTTGGACTCGATGGTCCTGTTGAGACAGCACCAGTTGTCCAACGCTGCCGAAGGGTTTCGCCGCAAAGTTGGCACCCAAATTTGACGGCCCCTACAAAGTCGTCAAATTCATATCCCCCAATATTGTGCGGCTGGTGAAATCAGACGACCGCAAGAAGAGGGTGGCCAACATCTCACAATTGAAACCATTCTACAGAAAGACGACGAGCGACGAAGAAGACGAAGATCCAGGGCACGTAAATGCCCACGAGTAAGCGAAGGATGAGAGCAACACCCGTCGCCCAACGAAACTATTATGATTAAGCTTAGATAAGACTAACATTAACAACATGATTCAGAATAGGCATAGTAAAGTGTGAGCCGCACTGAGAGAATAGGGCATTAACCAATAAGTAAAGAGTAAGTTAACCAATAAGCTGAACTTTCAGATGGAACCCGAAATTATCGACATATCGTCAGACGAAGACAACAGCAGCGGGGACACCGAGCCTTTCCCCGGGCCGGGAGCCGCAGGCCGTCCGCGCGACCCACGCCAGGGGCGTGAGTACTATCGGAGAGAACGGCAAGAAGGACCGCCTCGCCAGTTCCGCCATACACTATTCTCCCGGCGGACCAACATAATGGAGAGGCTAGACGGGATGGTGTTGCTGATGGCAGTCGAGGTCACGACAATGTTCGTGGAGGCACCATTCGCCCGGAACTCGCCACCGTACGCGGAAGAGCCTGCATCTCCGCCCCTCGCATCCCACTCGGCACAATCATCAGAGCCGGCAACCCCAACCGCGGCCGGCGAGATGGACGAGGAAGAGTCCGCACCGTTCGGAACGGAAGAGCACACACCACCAGCGCAAGACGTGGAGGCGGTAGGAGAAGAGATATCCCCGTCGGCCGGAGACGCGGAGTCGCCACCGACGGAGGTGCAGAACGGCATCCGCACAAACGACTGGGAAGCAGACCTGCCGAGCCTCGACCCAGAACCCTTAGTGGGAGGGGACTCGTCAACGGAGGACGAGGAGGACGAGCCGGAATTCCGTCGCCGCTTTGCCACCCACCGTCTGGGAGGTAGACCCGGGCAGCCAGTTTCCCAGGATAACGCTGCGGTACCTACCAAAAGTCCCCGTGGTAGCCAACAAACCCCGTCTGAACCCCGCAAAGCGCGAATGGGGGGGTGCCGAAGAAGGCCCCGGCGGAAAGCGCCGACGCAGCCGCCATCGTCGACGGAGAGCCGCCAGGGGCAAGCGTCGCCGGAGTGGAGGCCATCGCCGACCCAGTCCCGAGGGAGCATCCTCGTCGGCCACGAAGAGGCTTCGCACGGAGACCGAGAAGCCCGAAGGATCGCAGCGGTGCGTGCCGCGTTCGCCCCGCGAGCGCCAGGAGGGTCCTTCCCAGCTCGGGAAGGATAACCGCCGCTGCAAGATCGCTTCTCGAGGAGGGCATCCCGAACCCTGGCCGATACCGATTGCGGTCTGCCAGATGGTCGTGGAGGAGCACCATCTCAGCACCAAGGACGCGGCGAACTCGGCCGTTTCCACAGCCCGCGCCGAGGCGCCGGACGAAACCTTTCCTAAGGAATCGGAGGAGGAGTGGCTCGACGACGAGGACGAAATGCCCGCGCTCGTGCCTATTGCCCGCGCCGAGACACCCGACACCATCGCCCGGCGGGAGTTAGAAGACGCCTGGTTCGGCCAAGAAGGCAAGGCGCCATCCCGAAAAGGTTCCTTCACGGTTCGCCAGGAAGGCCGGGATGAAGTCTGGTCCGAGGAAGAGGACGCGGTGGTGACGGCTTCGTCACCCAAACTGTCGAGTCCAACCCAGGATTCCTCCCCCATGGCTCTAAAGACTCCCACGGAGAGCGAGTTGTGGGACGACATAGTGGACCTTTTCGACGGCATCGACGGGTGGGACACTAGCCTGGACTCAGTGCTGGAGGAGGAACCCGACACCGAGGTCGACACGGTCGCCCGCAGCGCCGACGTGAGGTTCACACCGGAGAGCCACCCCAAGAAACCCAACACCGAGGTCGAGGCGATCGCCCACAGTGCGGACGTTGGGGTAAAGCCGGAGGGCCCCGTCGAGGAACCCGTGCCCGATTCCACCCCCTCAGGCTGGAAGGTGTTTCCCCTTGGAACACCGTTGTCGTCGGGCGTGGTGGACCTAATCGCCAGAGAGGCGCGAATCCGCCGTTTCCGCTGCCGACGTACTCGGTTCCACGTGTCCGACGGGGAGAGCGAGTACAGCGTTACGCTGAACGCGAAAGGCGACGTGACCGTCACCTGTCCGAAGTGAGGGGGGGGTGTGAGGCGGCTAATCAGACCAGCCACCCCACAGTTTTCACGGCAAGGAGCCGTCATCCCTTTGGCCCAAATTACGGCAAGGAGCCGCTGGCGGGAGAACGTATTAATTTTCTTTAGTTATAAGTATTAATTATATTAGGTTAAGATCTTAGTGAAATAAGAGGCAAGGAGCCATGAGTAATATAAGCAGTTCGATTAGTAGTAAAGAGGCAAGGAGCCGCGAATATTATAATTGATTTAAATAGTGAGTTTGAATTTAACCGCCGGCCGCCGCTGCAACCGTGCGTTGTCGATCGGTTGCTCAACACCGTCTTTGAGAGCGCAACTTCAATTCGGCGGCGAAGAGCGAAAGCTCCGAGGCGAAGTTGCGAAAGCTCACGGCGAAGTTGAGCGGCCGAAGCGAGCGCATGGCTTGCCGGCGAGCGTGCCGGCACTTTGGAATGAACATCAAGGGTGAGTAGAAGTGCTGCGCGAGAGAAACGAAATCATAGATGGTATAGTGGAGCGCTAGGGCTCCAGAAAACAGTGCGGCAGGGTTTAGCGTAGGATTTACGATAAGGTCGGAATGAATAATAATGAATAAAGTGCCAACGTTGTAATTATCTAGAAAGTGTTGGATTATTCTCTGTCTCCTGGTAACCCGGCTTACCTTAACATCGGAACTAACCGGTGTTCGACCTAACCTCGAACGAGGGGCATGCGGTACGAGATTGTGGCTCCGGGGTGGGCATTACTGGTTGGTGTTTAGGTAGTGGAGTTGGTGCGAGGCCACGGCCCGCTAGCATAGTGGTACGAGGCCACGGCCCGGCAGAGAGATAGAGTGATTAGGTAGTGGAGTTGGTGCGAGGCCACGGCCCGCTAGTGTAGTTGGTGCGAGGCCACGGCCCGCTAGCATAGTGGTACGAGGCCACGGCCCGGCAGAGAGATAGAGTGTTTAGGTAGTGGAGTTGGTGCGAGGCCACGGCCCGCTAGTGTAGTTGGTGCGAGGCCACGGCCCGCCAGCATAGATGGTACGAGGCCACGGCCCGATGGTGTAGGTGTGTAGAGGTAGATCTGGGTTTGGTTTGGTCAGGATACTCACCCCCCCCCCCCTTAAGCCCTCACTCCCAGCGAAATTATAAATAACTTGTAGCTCGCTAGACCTGGTAAGACTGAGAATTATACCCCGGCCAGAAGCTTCCTTACAAGTGTATAGCGGAGCGCTAGGGCTCCAGAAAACAGTGCGGCAGGGATTAGCTCGTGAGCTACTATAAAGTAGTAATAAGCAAGAAGTGAATAAAGTACATATGTTATAATTATCGAGAAGAAACTGGATAATTCTTTGTTTTCTCGTAACCCGGCTTGCCTTTTAAGATGATGCTTGATCTAAAGAAGACACAGGAAGGCTACGGAAAGTTAAAAAAAAGGCTTTTTCTTGTAAAAAAAAGCCTCACGAAAACGAGGTATGTCTTAAAGAGGAAAGGACAGTCACACAAACATAAACTTTTATTCGTCTAGAACGTACGATTACTTACGGGACGTCTTAAATTTAAAACTTCCTTCAAAAAAAGTATTCTCGATGGGCGGTGTTTAAAAATTTGACCCCGGGATTTAATTAACTTACAGGACATAGTTAGCAAAATGAGTGAAAAGGGAAAAGATGCTATTCTAGTTTTAGATGAGGGGAAAATTAAACGAGGACTGCAATACAATGCATCACTTGATAAGATTCAGGGATTTGAAAATGATGGGGTTAAAAAAAAGCTGTTAGTGCAGCAAGTCTGTGTTTTCCTTGTTAGGGGCCTTTTTGAAAATTGGAAATATGTCTTAAGCTACACTGTTTCTGCAAATAGGATAAAACATGAAGCTCTTAAGGAAAAAATTGAGTATAACATTGGACTTTCTCAAACTCTAGGACTTAACGTGCGAGCCGTTGTTTATGACCTGGGCTCTAATAATAGAGCGACTTTCAAAAAGTGGGGCATTGATTTCAAGAATCTTAGCTTTAGCAAAGAAATTTTCGCTATATTCGATTCTCCTCATCTTATGCAATCGCTTAGAAATATAATTATATCACGCGATCTTACTACACCAGATGGCGTAGTTTCGAGGCGTATAATAAGACAATTGTTCGAAATCGAAAGAATAAATTTAACGCGTCTTTGCTCCAAATTGACTCCTAGCATATAAGCCCAAATTGTTTCGAAAAAATTAAAGTAAAATATGCCACACAGGTTTTTAGCCATAGTGTCGCGGCTGCAATACGAACAGTAATTGATTCTGGTGGCTTTTCCGATTGCAAAGAAAGGGCTGCAGCCACGACTACGTTTATTGAAAACGTTAACAGACTTTTCGATTGCCTTAATAGTTACGTTTTGTTTGATAGGAATCCCCAAAGAAATGATATTCTATTTGAAAAAGCTCAAATACCCACAGAAAGTGCTTTGCATTAATGGGATGATTAAAACAATCTCATCCGTAATTGCTTTAGCGGAAAGTCGTTGGCAGGAAAACCCCAATGCTTATTTTTTTGCTACTTCCAAACTAATCCAAGACCCCCTAGGAAATTTATTTAATTTAAAAAGGTCTCGCGGAGCTACAAATACTAAACCAACAATATTTGAATTTAATATAATAATGTCAAAAATGATATCAATGAAAATATTGGCATCAGCTTCAGTATCTGGGAATTGTGTTGTCATAATCATAAAAACTGTCGATTAGACCTATCTAAATCGAATGCCCATTTTAACGCAAATTCTTTTATCGAAGAGGATACGATCTCTTGAGACAAGGAGTCCGAAGTGGAATTATCTTTGGAAGAAACAATTGCCAACATGCGGAATGCTTTGCGATATTGTGCTGCTTATCTTTTGTACAGGCTATTGCAAAAGTATGACTGTGAAATATGTGCTAATCTTTTAAAAGAAAGCAAGGAAATGCAATGTTCCTCGGAGTATTTGATACTCCATAAAAATGTTGGCTTTGTGAATCAGAGTCTTAAGCTTAAAGCTCCTTCTGATAATTTTCAATTATAAAAATTCACTTCAACGTTTTCAAGCGAATTTTCGATAAAAGCCCTAAAATATCTTATTTAAAAAAATATATAGTTGAGTCCTGCATCTCTGCTACAAACGCTAGTTCATATGCGGACTGGTTTTCTGGTTCACCCATGTTCGGCCCACGTTGTTAAAATGTGGCTGGCATATAACACGGCACATGTTTTGCCACATCCGCCACAATCTCCTGATCTAAACCCAATTGAATATTCATGGGAGGAACTGGATAGGAGGGTCAAAAAACGGGTAATTTCCATCAAAAGTCAGCTGAAAACGGTTTTTCTGGAAGAATGGCAAGAATGGCAGAAAATTGGTTCATTCTCTGCCAAAACGTTTAGAGGCTGTTATAAAATAGAAAGGCTTGCCCACCAAATATTAGTTAAGTTTCATATATAATAATTTTAGGTTTCTGGTTTTCTGGTTCACCCATGTTCGGCCCACGTTGTTAAAATGTGGCTGGCATATAACACGGCACATGTTTTGCCACATCCGCCACAATCTCCTGATCTAAACCCAATTGAATATTCATGGGAGGAACTGGATAGGAGGGTCAAAAAACGGGTAATTTCCATCAAAAGTCAGCTGAAAACGGTTTTTCTGGAAGAATGGCAAGAATGGCAGAAAATTGGTTCATTCTCTGCCAAAACGTTTAGAGGCTGTTATAAAATAGAAAGGCTTGCCCACCAAATATTAGTTAAGTTTCATATATAATAATTTTAGGTTTTATAATTATGTGTGCCAATACTTTTGTGCCCAGAAAATGTGCCATTTTTTATTTAAATAATTTAATAAAATTAATGTTACGTTACGTTTGTTACAAAACTTTAACTGATTTTTGTAGGAAATTAACTGGCTTATACAGGAAAATTAATTTGCATGGATGTTGGTTACCAAAAACGGACGCAAAATAGTTGCAAAGTAGAAAATGCTTGCTGTGCCAATACTTATGTGTGTGTCTGTACATAGAAATGGTATAGAATGATTAAAGCAAACAAATATTATTGATTGTACTAATAGTTGTACAATAAATAAGAAATTATATTTTTCTCAGACATTAGATAAAATGTGCTTGCAAGCTGAAAGCGAGTGAAGAAGAAGAAGACATGACTTTGTGACTGCGAATTATAGACATGGAAACCACAACAATAAGTTAGAAGAATGCAGAAGCTTAGATCAAAGGCTGTAGCCTCAAAACAAAAAGGGATAGCAAGGACAGAATTTCTGCTGTGGAAATGTTCTGAAGTTGTCATTGAATTTTGGGCATCGGCAGAAGTAGCTGCAGACAGCCGGGTGTTGTGTTTGCAATTTGTGTTTGCAACCTCGCATTGAGTAATAAAGAGACAGAGGAGGCTTTTGGATCAAAAGCTCTTTTTCGAAACACTTCACGAGCGATAGCGAGGTTGCAAACACAATTGAGTATTACTCAATGACAAATTGCAAACACAACACCCGGTTGTCTATAGCTACTTTTGCCGTTGCCCAAAAATCAAAGACAACTTCAAAACATTTCCCATATGAACCAACAACAACCATAATTAAAACAAACGACTCGACAATAAAAATAGCACACCACAAATTCTGTCCCTGCTATCCCTTTTTGGTTTGAAGCTACAGCCTATGATCTAAGCTTCTACACTCTTCTAACTCATTGTTGTGGTTTCTAAGCACTGCTATGCCTTTAATTCGCAAAGTCATGTCTTCTTCTTATCCACTCGCTTTCAACTTGCAAGCAGCCCGGCAGATTTTATAATTTTTCATTTTTCGATCAGCAAGGCACCCTATCTCAAAATAGGGTATTTTAACTATTCATAAGTTCTGTAACCAAGTACCACTAACCTTCTCATATACACCTTTTTATCTAATGTCTGAGAAAAATATAATATCGTATTTAGTGTGCAACTATTAGTGCAATCAATAATAATTGTTTTCCTTAAACATTCTATATCATTTCTAT